AGGGGAGGGCAGGGCGGGAGGGAGGAAGGGCGGGCGGGAGCGTCGCCGGAATGAGGCAGATCTCGTCCTCCTCCTTGTCCTCCACTGAGACCTTCCCAGGCCTCGCCCCGCCTTCCGAGCCCTTGCCGGCCCTCTCCTGCCCGGCATGCCCACCATCATCCCTCCTCATCGCGGCCTCGCCGTCTTCCGTCCCCATCATCGTCCGCGCAGCACCTTCCATAACGGCCTCCCCCCCTACTTCCGTCCTCGGGAACTGCAGACCCGCCAACGCCGCCACCAGCTTCCTCGGCGTCTCCCCACTTTCCCCAATACTTCCCCCACTTTCCTCAATACTCGCCCCACTTCCCTCACTGCTGCGTCTCCGGACCCCCGCCCGCAGGGGGTGACGGCTGCGAGAAGCACTCCCTAGGGCGCCAGCCCCGCCGTGCCTATCGTCCACCTCCCGCCGATCCCACCCTCCTCTTCCCTTATAAGTCTCAGCTTCATCGCCCCCAAATATCTCGTCGAACAGATTCGATCCCACCAGTGCCCGCAGGTCCTCTTCGAGGTCAGGTTCAAAAGGGGCCCCGGCCTCGGCCGAGTGCAACAAAAGCCGCATCACCAGACTCTGCAGCTCTTCTTTCCCTGCTCCCTCGTCTTCTTCCCCATCTCCCTCTTCCTCTCTTTCGCCATCTATCTCCCTTCCCCTGACTTCTGGAAAAGCGGCCCTCTCTCGTGCCTCTTCCGTGTCTTCGTCCTGCTGGATCATGTGCAGCATGTCCTCCCCCATACGCTGCTCTCCGGCCGAATCCAGGGATGACGGCGAGCCACCCGGAGACTCTGCGGGACGTATGGAGTCAGGAAAAATCTCTTCCTCCACGATAGACCTGTACCTTTCTGTCTTTGAAGCCGTCGATGAGGAAACGGGCATCCCTGCGCAAGCACGGAGTGACTCGCCCGGAAGAGTGCGGCGAGCTGGGGAGGGAGACGTCCAGGAAAAGCAGCAAAAAACAAGCTTTTCCCCACAGCGTTTCGAGATTTGTGGTAGCTGCACAGCTCTGTTTTCTTATCTCATAGTGGTATGTGTGGATTCGGTGAATGTACAGAGGTGAGATGAGAAGCTGGACATTTATCATATGACAGTAGTCGATCAGGCTGATGGGGCTGGGGCAGCTCGTGGTTTTCTGTAGTAGGGCTTGAAGTCTTTTATTTAATTATTTATCTTTTTAAAATAATATTGCGACTGGTCATTTATAATGGAGATGAGACGATACTAGAAAGAGTGATGAATGGAGTGGAAGTCGGCGAGCATTCCTGTTTTTGTCCTCCATCGAGAGCAAATATCAAATATCATGGTAAACTCGGTGGTGGGTACATGGAACCTCGCGACAGGAGCAGGCAGCCGCTCACTACTAACTACCACTTTTTTCTTGCGGGGTTTGTTTTCATTACGCGTGCATGCCATTCAAATATATTGAGGCAGGTTTGTGTCCTTTAAAAAAATTATTTATGTATGTATAGGAAAGCATGTCTCACTTTCTTAAAAGATTGGGATTGGCGCTAATTTGAAAAGAAACGTGACTTGAATGCTGCCATCGGAAAATATGGATTCATTCTGGTTTTGTACAATCCAACTTATTTTCATTCGTGATGATGGTACTCTTTGGTGCACGTATTCAGCAATACGGACACCAGATTCCCAGAAAAATGGGCGACAACAATATCGTGCTTCAGGTCTTTATTCATGAGGCCTACCGCTATGGCACTCGGACCCGGAATGCCAATGCCGTCCGCAGGAAATGTCCGCGTTCGCGTAAAGCTCCCATCCCCGTGCCCTGTAAGTGTGATAAAAAAAAGGTATGCCTGTGATGCATCCGCGGAGGGGCACCGTAACCCGCTCACTCCAACTTTTTTGCCTCACCTCTCAGTAACGTTACGTCGTTCGATAGGGCATTCGCAGTGACAATATCGGCATGCAAATCTCCATTGAAATCCCCCACAGCCAACGCCATGGGGGCCAGTCCTGGTGAGATCGAGTAGCTCCTGGGTCTGTGGAAAGTCCCGTCCCCCCGACCCAGCAAGATGGAGACGGAATTGTCGAGTCCGCCGTTGACAGTAGCCACGTCCGGGAATAAGTCGGTATTGAATAGCCCCACCACCAGAGCCACGGGCCTGATCCGGGTCCCCAGGTCGTACAGCGCGGGTCGTCGGAAGGTCCCATCGCCCAGACTGGTCAGCACGGCCATGCTCCGGCTCCCTGTCGAGAGTCCTACTACCACGTCGGCGAACCCGTCCAGGTTCAAGTCCACAGCCAGGATGGAAAGGGGGAAGCCCACGCCGGGGACACCTCCCAGCGCAACTTGCAGCGGCCGAACGAACGATCCGAGCCCGTCCCCCCATAGGACTGTCAAGCTCTCGCGAGCGGCAAGCGCCAAGGCGATGTCCAGGATACCGTCACCGTTGAAGTCGCCGAGGGCCAGATCCACAGGGCCCCCGCCGCCCGTCGGAAAGACAAATCCGTTCGTAAAGGAACCGTCCCCTCTGCCCAGCAGAACAGAAAGGGCTTGTCCGCCCAGGTTCGCCGTGACAATGTCCAAGCGCCCGTCGCGGTTGACGTCGGCAAGCCGGATGCGATAAGGATAGCTCCCTGGCGGTCCCACTGGGAAGCGAGTTCCGTGAAAGAAAGTCCCATCCCCGCGCCCCAAAAAGATGACGACAACGTCTGAGCCCGACGCAGCCACCACCAAGTCCTTGATCTTGTCGCCATTGACGTCCCCGACTTCCATGTCGGTGGGTCCTGCGCCCTCCGATGGAAAGGACAAAGGCGGGGTAAAGCGCAAATTTGTACACAAGGCGTGGCCTCCATGTTTCACTTTGTAATTACGCGCATCAATGGAATCACGCATGCGTGTTACACCGGCTGTGATACCTGGTTTGGAAGCAGGGCTTCTGGTAGTCCCTATACCTTTGTGTTTCAGCCCCTTTTTTTTCCCGTTCGCCTTCGCAGGAAGCAGATTCCCGTCCGGTAAATAGGCTGTCTTCTTTTTACTGCGGAGATCGCGCTTGTTGGGATCGAATGGCAGGCCCTGAAGGCTGTCTCCAAGGGAAAATGCTCTTGTGAAGGAATCATCTTGATTTCTTTCACGACGCGTGGCAATGATAGTGTCGTTTGAAAGGCTGGCCTCAAGAAAAAATTCACTGATGTCGTCAACAACTTCATAAAACGACGTCAGAGGTGGTGCGGGGGATATGTCGATGTCTGTTGGATTAGTATCCTCAGTGACGAAGCCATCCTTCTGTAGCAGGATGTCCCCTTGTGGCGCTTGTTCCTGGTCGATGTCAATTTTCTCCCTAAAATTTGGACTATTCGTCTTGCGCAGCATTGAAATCTGCGATCGGATATCATCTTTTCCATCTCTAGGATGTGGCTTTCGCAGTCGGCTCTCTAGGGTATGTTCCACCTCGTTATAGTTTTCCCCGGGTGGTGTGGGGGCAGCAGTTGCGGGAGTCGAGCCGTCCAAGAGGTGGTCGCGAACAATAGCCAAAACTAAGAAGCGACATACCAGTGTTGTTGAAAGTAATCTCATTCTCAAAGAAATGACTTATTTGCCTGTTTTTATCGAGAAGAAACTTAGGAGTTAAAGGCGACAAGGTCAATGCTGAGAGGATCGAGTTGTCCTTGTACATGCCAGAAGAGGCAAGTATATTAGTAATGTTCGTGGCTAAGAGGAAATAAACATGCAATTTGCTGCACTAAAAATATTTTTAGGTACCGAGTGGCGACAAGGCATGCATGGCATAAATATGGCGCTCTTCCTTCATACCCGATGCCCTGGGCACATAAACTCGGGGCGTGTCCGCGTTTTGGGTTGATGTTTACGGGCTTAAAAGGTCATCATCCTTTCTTAGAGCCTTCCACCAGGTTTACAAGGAAACCGAGGGAGCATACGACACCCGGGAATCTCGCCACTCACCTGCCGTAAGACTTGCCCCACGTTCGTGCTCTGTGTCCAACCCGATGTGGGTCTCGATACGGGCAGCTTGGGCGGAGGCGACGGGGTTTGGGGCAAGCGGCTAATTTGTTGAGAATGTAAAATCATTCGAGTAACGCCCCCCCCGTTGCCGCCTATCCGAGGAATGCTACAAGTTGGTGTTTCCGTGTCAAACTCCTCCATTGGTCACCGACGCGAATACGCAAGCCTACTGTCACCGCTTTTTCATCATCGTACATGCGATATTGATTTCCGGGTGTTTTTAGACTCTTGTTGACGGACAGACTACGTGTGTTCACCCAAGTTCAAACACCCCCCCCCCTCTCCCCTTCAGAGTACGCACCTCGCGAAATTTGGCCGACGGGCTTCTCCTTGTTCACGCCTTTGGACGCTTGACCCCTGCAGCGAGCAAACAAGCCCACGGTGTTGCACACGATCATATCATAATTACTCGAAGGCTCGCTGTCTTCTCGGTTGTTGGAACCCGGTCGTGGTAAATGCTGGTAAAGCTGGAGCTTTTCCCTGCATTTGTTGTCTCCTTTCTGCCAGGCACCTGAGGCAACAAGTGTACCACAGCGCGTGCATTCACCCCTACAGCTGGCATGACAACAGATGGTGCTCTGGATGAGCAGTCCTATCTCATGGCCATGAAGGAGGAGATTGAGTCAGCTCTGGATGCGGCACCAGGAGGCAACAACGATATCAACACTCCCGGTGACAAGCTGTCCCCACCAGCCCTGCAAGACTGTGATATCGCTATCTCCAAAACCAAGCCTCAAACCGCTGCCGTGGGTATAGATTTGCTGATGCGTAACAGTGCCCAGGACATCCACCCAGACCCGGTCTCGAACAGCAAAGGTTTTGAGGACAGGATATCGGGGAGGACGGATGATTGCGCGGGAGGCATCCATTCGAACGCCTCCTCGTCGTCTTCAGCGCCCCCTTCGGAGGCCTCTACCTCGGTGTCTGCATGGGTAGGCCAAGAGGACTCGACTGGAAGCAGCACAAGTAGCAGCCGGCAAGGTGGGGAGGATCACGGGTCAAGTAATGTGACAGCTTCGACCACGTCTATCGGCGCAAGTACTACGTCTTCGCAGGCCGCTGAACGCCGACGCGCCCGGGCCCGGAAAATGGGCCTCTTACAAAACCGGGGAGAGATGCTCCTGTCGTCCTCCCAACGACACCTCCAGGAACACCCGTACCAGATTAAAGAGGACGATGGGGACAGGGAGGGGCTGGCGGGCCTCGCGTGCGACAGCCCACCAGGGAGCTGCTCCAGCTCCGTGACGGGAATGGTCACCTCACGAATGAGACGCGACGCGGAAGACATGGCCGCAGCCGTGGCTCTGACCAAGAAGCAGCTTCGGATGATAAGAAACCGGGAGTCGGCTGCCTTGTCACGCAAACGGAAGCGGGACCAAGTGGAGGCATTGGAGCTGGAGGTGGAGGCCCTTAAAGATAAAAACCGACAATTAAAGCAACGGCTGGCGCGGTATGAGGGCGTGGACACCTTGGAGTCGGCCAGGGACGCGGGCGGGGACATTGTCCGAGGAACGGGGGCCACGCCCGCCGGCTTGACTTGGCAACAACAGCAAGAGCAGCGGATAATGGAGGCGCAGCAACAAGCAGGCGCGGCGGACTCGCAGGATCCAAACCCATTTTTGGAAGAATCTGACCTTGACGGGTTCTATCAGCCGCTGGCGGGCATGCTGGGCTTCGACCCCTCCAGTCTTAATATTTCCCTTCCTTCTTCCCTCCCCCCCTCCGCGCGCCAGTCACGGCCAACACCCTCCTCTGGGGCCCCACCCCAGACTGAAGCCGGAAGAATCGGAGGTTCGAAGGGGCCTGGAGACCAGTCTGGGGGTCGAAAGGGCCCTGTCACGGCGGAATCCCCGACACCCACCTACGCGCGTCTCAGCGCGTCGGAAATAGGCTTTGCACAACGGCCGCAGTTATCCATGGTGTCCTCTCCCGCTCAATCGCAGGAGCCAGAGCAACGTCTGCGGGGACAGCAGCTGCAGCAACAACATCAATTGGCCTTGGAACAACAGCGACAACAGCAGCAGCAAGTACAAAAAACATCGATCTGGGAGCCCGCGGCTCTGATGCCATTGATGGATTCCACCTCCGATTTCTACTTCGGCGAAGGGGTGGAGGGGGTGAAATTCGGGTCGGAACAGGGCGTCCAAGGCGCATCCGCACCGGGGTTGGTCTCGAAAGAGCAAAACAAGGATCCGGTGGAAGAGGAAGCGGAGTATTCACGGCTTCCTGAGCAGGGGATGGATGCCTCTGACCCCGGCTTTGCCCGGGGGCGGGGACAACGGAAGAGCCCCCCCGACCAGATCGCCACGGGCCCCGCCTCCACTTCTTCTTTGGAAGGGGACCGACGTCCTCGTCAGTGCACGTCCAAGACTGATCGAAAGCGGGGGCGGGCCACAGCAACGGCAGGCAGGGACGGAAATGCGGATGGAGGAGCCAGGCAAGCTAGCAGGACCCGCCCTGGAAGCAGCGAGGTAGAGCATTTGGACAGCGAAGTGTGGGAGTTCCCGGAGTACGCCCCGGTGGAGACAGGGGGCAGCTTGAGCCTGGGGCGAGGGGGGGAAGGAGGGAGAGGGGAAGGGGGATCCTTGATCTCCATGCGGCTGGGCATGGTGAGGCCAGGGGCGGGGGGCGCTGCGTACCCCCAAGAACTCCCGTTGGAGAAAGACGGTACGGAGGCAGGGGCACTGGAAAGAGGCCCCGAGGAAGGGGCCGGTGTAAGGCGGAGGGGGGAGAATCTGCGGGTGTGGGAAAGGGAAGGTGGAGGGAGGGAGGAGGGAGCAGAGGGGGCCTCCCTGGGCCCGTCCTGGTCGACCCAATCCCCATGGTAATAGGCACCCGTCAAAGTAGCAGAGAGGAAGGGGGAATACATGGCTTGGTAGGCTGGTTCGCTGCGAACGAGGGGTGTTTAGGACTGCCGAAATAGCAGTGAACGAGCCCGAAGGCTGTAGAAGGCAGCTGGGTCGTGCATACGCGTTCATGGAAGCGAATGTGTACCTCTATTAAGTTCTAACGCGTGCATAGGGATTGTGCCTGTTGTAGGGAAAAAAAGCTTGCGTGGGAAGATTGTGAATAATACGTGAGGTTTTTGTTCTCGGTGTGAGAGTCCAGTCGTCCCAGAGTGTAGAAATTTCATGCGTGTCATCGTGGCCGATAGCTATGGCCCCGAAAGGATTGAAATCTTGATTGTACAGAGAGTCTTCAAGCCGGGTGCACGGCCACAGCGGCAAGTATCGTCATCCTTCGAGTCCATGGGATCGACAAAGAAACGTGGCCCCATACCTGCCTACGCAGGATTCGACCTGGTCTATTTGTGAGGCGTCCAGAGCTGGAGCAGGCAACCTTGATCAATTATTTGGGAACATTCTTGTCGATTATGTGAATGGTGGGTGTTGGTTGATGACGGTAATCGTGATTTAATTCCCTTAGGAGAGAGATGCCTGGCAGGACGGCCGATTCGTGTGGTGCGCTAAAATCTAACTTTTCCCCAAATGACACCCCAGTCATTGTGAGGGGGAGATAAAGGAAAGACTGTAACGCCTTCTTTGCACACAAGGAGGTCGGTGCAACTTGTCGGGAGGCATAAAAGGTGCAGCACTTAAAGCTGGGTTACACGGGAATGGAGACAGCGACTGAAGTGACGCGTCCTTCATCCTGCAGTGAAAGCAGGCGAGTTGGTTCCTTGAATCATACCGATGAGGATGCCGTTAGCGAAACACTTTTAACAATTTTTACAATGAAAATTTTGTGGCCGCTAACCTGCACTTTGTCAGTAAAAGTGCCATGAAAAGGAAAACATCCATGGTTTACAGAAAATTTGCGAAGGAAGCTTGATTTCTTTGCTTTCCTTGGTTCTCCGTCAATTGGCCTTCTCTGCCTTTGTTTTCTCCGGATGACACTTAGATGTTATATAAGGAAGATTGCACATACAGAGAGCAATACAAACTCCAAGAAGGCGAAAATAGGCGCTTTAATTTTGTGCACATCAGGACGGATTTGTGCGTCAATAATTGTACAGCGGTTTTCTTGATTTGAACTGTTCATCTATTTGACTATTATTTAAGTCGCTTATTTGAATAGTGAAATATTGACCTACCTTTATAGAGGGGACATGAGATGGAATGAGTATTTCATAATGCTCTCTTCCCTCTGCACGCGGTGCTAAGCCTTCACACTCGACAAAATAACGTCGGACAGATGAAACTGATGCCTCAAAGCACATAAAAATATCTTTATGATGTTATACTTACAGATACAAGGGATGCTTACCTTTTGCAGGTTTGCAGCACCGTTCTTCACGACTTATCATATGATGTGGGGCCAAAAGGATACCCGGCAGAGCACACATGGAAGGACCCTGGCATGCCCAAGAAATGCAAACAAGAAGTGAGCCACTTCAACCGCACCCTTTCACTGAATGGACGACATGTCAGAGTGTCAGTACCAAACTGCGTCGACGCTCGGAGATTCAATGACCTGTCACACTTGCGGGTGTGAGGGGCTACCCGTTCTTCGTGTCCCACCTCTTGCAGCCTCCCCACCCACCCACCACATACTACAGCATTTTACAAGCGTTAGCGCTCAAGGCTTTCTTATTTTGCACTGCTCGATCCGTGCTGCTAAGATCATGGTACGTTTTACCTCGCACGTTGTTTAATTTTTGCTTCTACTTTAATGCTTCCTCACATGACTGCAATCTGTGCGCAGGCTTCAGACGGAGAGGAAAGCACGCAGATGGCGCGGGATGAGTCCACGCGACTCCAATGTCGGTTTTACGAGGAGCAGTATCCCAATCCGGAGAGTATGGTCATGGTGAAAGTCATTAATATAGCTGACATGGCAGCGGAAGTCATCTTGCTCGAATACAATGACATTGAGGTGAGGACGGAGAAGAGGAAAGGGGAAGGAACGGGTTGCCGTGGAGCGTGCGGGGGGAAGATCAGCCCGAGCCTTCTCGTGTAGTGCTACCCTTTTGGATGATGACGCATAGTATAGGGTTTCAGAGTGCTCTGCCTGCGGCCAAGAGCTGGATCCCCAGAAAGCACTTGAAAGCGCCACGTCAACTGACTCTGTCCACCGGGCCCCTCTGACCCTCTACATCGCTCTTGAACCGGACATTTGCAGGGTATGATCCTCCACTCCGAGCTCTCCCGGCGTCGCATTCGATCCATCAAGAAGCTCATCCGCGTCAACAAGCTGGAAGTGGTCTCCGTGTTGCGGGTGGACAAGAAGAAAGGTAAGCCTGTCACTCGGGAGGATCCCTCACACTCACGGACATGAACCCTCCCAATGTTGCTCTGATGCGAACGCAAACAATCTTGTGCACTTCGTTTCACGCCTTTCCTTCTCAGGGTACATCGACTTGTCCAAACGTCGCGTTTCCCCTGACGACGTGATCAAGTGCGAAGAGCGCTACAACAAGGCGAAAGCCGTCCACTCCGTCCTCCGCCACGTCGCCGACATGCACCACCTCTGGCTCGAGGACCTGTGCAAGAAGGTGGCCTGGCCTCTCTACCGCAAGCACGGGCATGCCTTCGATGCCTTCACCAAGGTGTGTGGCCCCTGAGGTCCTCCGACCCCCATGGGGGAAAGTTCTTGGGTCTTGGTCGCCCTGTTCCCACGCGGCCCATATCCACGCCACGGCATCTCCTTGACCAGATGTCCCGCCACTGTACTCCGTGATCTAGCGCTGTCGCCCCTCATCCCTCCCCCTCCCCC